ACGAGCGTGATGGTGGTTGATAAGCCGATTGTAGCATCCAGGTTGACTTAGATGCCGAAGTGTCGAAAGCGCATTGAATACAGAAAGTAGGAACAGTATGAGGAAAGGAGGCAAGAATGAGATAAGAAGTTTCGGTTCATTAAAAGTCATATACGTCTTAACTCAACACCGTGCGACATGACCTCGTCAGTTTGACGGTTGCAGTGTTTAACAGAAAAAGAAGAGGAAGGAGTAAAAGATAAAGAAAGATTTAAGGAAAGAATGGGGAGAGCTGTGATGTAACATTCGGGTGGAGAAGGAGCTGAAGCTGGGGCCTGCCTGGCGGGGAAGTGCAACACCAAGTAACACTTCTTTATTAGAGCAATATTAAAGAAATCAACAAAAAAAAAAAATAAACTAACCCCAGAAATTGCCTGGCAGCAGCTCCAGGGTGCCGCCGCACACTTCCAGATCGCGCAAAACCAAAAAATTACAATCCCAATTTCATTTTCAATCATCACATTAAATATCACGGAGGGGGAACTCGAGCCAAGAGACGGGGCTTTTACATATTGGAAACCGAAGGGCAACTGGACAATGCGAAGGGGGTTGAGCTTCCAACTTCGCTTCCTTGTTACTCGCTCCTTCTTCCTTTTGCAACAGTGTCTGTAGGATTAGGTGGAGGTGAGAATGGCAAAAGTTGCTCTCTTATTATGTCTAAAAGAACTACGTTCTTTTTTTTTTACTGCAGGCCGTATTTCTATAATCCGGAAACATTGGATTGCCAGTGGAAGCCACCACGTTTCCTGAAGCCACCTTCGGATGTCGCTGCTGCTCTGAATGGCCTGAACAGCCATCATCATCATCGGCATAAACCGATCTATACTGGCAATGAACCGCTCAGCGGTGATTCTATATCAGCATCATGCTCCGAATCGTTTTCAACAATCTCAGCGGTTTGTTTTGTGAGTATTCTTTTTTAAGGCTTTGTCTTCTTCCCATGGGTGTTTTGTTTTTTTTTTTTTTTTTTTTTTTTTTTTTT